GGCCTTAACTTTCCTAGTTGCCTCCCTACATGTTCAAGACTACCTAGTAACTTGGACAGTTTGGTCTCCTCTAGGTCACAAGTCAGGTGTGTGACACTGTTAGGGATAGAAGTAAGGCTTTATATTGCCCAGTACTGTGCCTCAAATACCAAGTAAGTCTTTCCTTCTTAGCAAATTTGCCTCATTTTGGACCGAAGTCCCTTTTCAGATGCAAACAACCAGAATTGACTTAGTATCAAAGACCAACAGATTTAAGGAGAGCATTTTTACCTCTCCCATACAGATATAAATTGGCACAACACTATTAGAGAAAACCCAGAATGATCTAAACCTTATTTTGCTACCTGTTAGTACTAAAAATCCTCCTTCTATGGCATGGCACTGAATACCTGAGGAGCTAATCACTCCCTTTCTTACCTTTTCTGTCAGCTTTATTGAGCGATGATTCAGTTCTAAAATGTTATTTTCACTTTATGTTGCATAAGGTACATGTGTAGGATGTTTGCAAGATTTAAATTACACTTAAGTGGGAAGTTCTGGAATCAAATGTACCTCTGACATCTAATAAAAAGCTGCATATAGCTTGCACACTGAAAACCTCTAAAAAATTTTGAAGAAGCATCATCTTTCCGCAAACAAACCAGAAATTGGAGTGGAAATTCCTGGTTTGTCTTGGCTTGCCTCTTTAAACAAATCCCCCAAACTACCTACTTGTGTTGCTTCTTCCTGGAAGATATTAAATTTCCAGTGTTTGAATAAGCTGCTGGGTTTAGGGGTGGAAAGAGATTCTCTTTGCACTGAAGCCATTTCAAGGGTTAATTTTGGCAAAATTAATGGGTTATTGTGAAGGCAGAAGCACTTTATGTATTATTTGTTTTCCCCCACTGCTGCCATTGGAAGACACTTCAGAACCAGTGTCCTGGGTTTCATTTTGAAAGGCAGGGAGCTAAATCTTATTGTGGAGCAACTCCAGTGCCCACTGAACCACATGTTTTCACACAAGCACCCATATATGCACAGCTTGCATCGGAGCCTGGCTCAAGGGCCATATAGGGTGCTATGGGTAAGTGCATATGCCTGTGTTTCCTGGAGCCAGGGGTGGTCCCGCCTGCAGCATCACTGCTCTGACAGAAACCATCTTCTAATTTCCATCCTAAATATATTCATTCTGCCTTCCGTTAAAGCAGATATGCGTATCAAATGAAATTACACATTGAAGCAAGGAATGTACTCCGTGCCAAATTCCATATCATCTTTGCATGTTTCCCTATTTCCGTGACATTAAGAGAGAGAGACATTTGCATAGGATTTTATTCTTGTTTGGAGAGCTACTGACTGCAGAAAAAAGCAGTTAGAAAGTAGGCCATCTAACTACTCTATACAATTGCCTATCACAAGAAAAACACGCAGTATTTTAACTCCATTTAATTCATCCTCACAAAAACCGTATAGAGAAAGGCAAGGTTGTATCTGTAACCCCCCTTCTCTGGGGAGAAAAACTGAGGCAACTGAGACAACTGCCTTGCCTAGTCGCAGAAAGCAGCTCTGCCTTCTTTCCTCAACCTCCTGTCTACCCACAGAGAGGCTCATCTCATGGGAACCACTGTTACTGGGAAGTAAGGGCCACAAGTGTACACTGCAAAGAAAGGACAGAGCGGCAAACTGGGAAAAGGGCAGCGACTGCTGCCTGGGGCACCTCAGGGGCATCCAACGCTCTATGGAAAGCAAGAGGTCATTAGCAACAAAATAAAGAAGAGGGCAGCACAGCTGGCATTTTTGGGCTTTAGAAATGGTCAGGGCTGACTTCTTGGCAGACAGGTCTGGTTTAGCCTGAACTTGCTCTCGCCTAAACCCATCTCACAAAGCCATCTGTCCCACCAGGATGGCCAGAGCAATGAGACACTAGGCTGTGCATGGCAGTGGCCATTCTGCTTTCCGAAAGCAAGGCATGGTTTTCCCTGTACCCTACTTGCGTTGCTTCACAATCTGCAAAAGCCAAGGTTGCTTTTCTAAAGACTTTTACTTTCACCATCCTTATTGGCATTTATCCTCTTTGAAAGTTAGGATTTTAATTTCTCTCTTCTGTTCAGACAGTTTCAGGAATAGCATAGATTGCACCACAGATTGTTCACTGTATTTTAGTGAGTCATAGGAGCTCATAGATGTGCCCTTGAAGTGATTATCCTCATTTTGGACTATGTTTGCTTTGCCTACAGCCCGACCTTCTTATTGCCCATGGAAATTCAAGGAATATCTGTGCACATCAACAACTATGTTCACCACCATGGTATGTCAAGAAAGTGACTTTGTTTTTAACTGGCCCACAAGAACTATATTTAGATTTCCAAGAAGGTGAAATACTGATTACACAAAAAGATACTGGAAGAGATCGTTCATTGATAAATTTCTGATTAAGCCTAATCCTATCATGGAACATGCAACTAGAAAGTTCTGAATTTAATTAAATCTACACCTGCATAATTTTTCCACAGTGACTCATGCAGTACTTTCCAAATATCTTCCTACAGATATCACCTGAGGTTAAAATATCATTGTAACTGAAATCTCCATTGCAAGGTGAAAAGCCAGATATCAACACTGTTAAGGAATCAGGCATTTAAACTGCATATTACCTTCTTTCTAAAGCTCCCTATTCAGGTAATTCTTTTTTAAAGAATATTTTCATTTGGAAAAAACGTTGTACTTTAACTGAATAAAACTCTACATAGCTGTCTTGCATTCCAATTTATCCTGTTACATGTTGTCTAAAGAATTCCTGGCCTAATGCTGCTATGTGGGCCTTTGGTTAGCTGTTTTCTTGTGTTGAATGCAGCCTAAAACAAAATAGTGCCAAGCTGCAAGACACAAAGAAAGAGAAAGATAGAAAATTCTGGTTATCTCTCTATATTCACCTTATTTTCAGTATTAATGGTGAAGACAGTGTCTCTTTGCTTCAGGAGTTTACAGGAATATGCAATGTTAACTGCTGTTTCCTGTTTGTCTCCTGTCAACACCCAGATTTGTATCCCAGCTTCTCGAAGAGCTGCAATAGTGTCAGGCACTCCATCTTGCAGCCTGTCTTCAATCCCTGTTGCTCCTGGGCAAACAGAAAAAGAGGCAGTGAATTAGTTTTCTTTCATTTCAAAATCATGTTGCTGTTTTCTTTTTTAATGAAAAGGTCTTTGACTTCCAGTTGTGATCCTGAACTCATCAAGAGCTGAGCCAAGGTACTGTCCAGCAAATAAACACACAGGTACAAGATCTGCATTTGGATTAAGATCTGAATTTGTCAGCAATCAAGTTTTGGATCTTCACTTCACTCATTGCTAGAACAATGCATTTTATTTCTTCTTAATAATCCAAAATGACAATGTACTGGCAGAGGAATTACATTGCATTTTTAAAGTACTGCATTAAGTCCTATCAAAGCAACCAGAAGAGATGAAGTTTGAATATTTAAATGAATGCTATTCCTATTGTCAAGTTAGATGCTTCACCCATCAAAGGGAGAAGAAACAGTACAGTAAGTTTTTTTTTCTTTTTAAAAATGTGCAAACTTAGAAGCAGATGCCAACACTCATCCATATGGTAAATCACCATCTGAATGTTGCAATATCCTTATCTCTTCCACTAGAGGTCAGTTTGAAGATGCTGCAACTGTGATACATTAAAGATAGGTATTGATTTAAGCTAAAATAACACTTTTTGTGAAATAAAGTATGAAAGCACACAGAGCCTTAAGAGTTTGCAAAGGTAACAGATTCTAACAAGATCTACATTACCTCTTATGTGTTTCTGCTTATGGCATTTACTGTTATTACTCTAATTTTTTAAATCACTGCAGAGATTATGAGAAGCCATAATGCTAATAGCTTGCACTCACAGAAATTCAGGATAATGAAGTATGGGCACAGATTGTATTCACAGAAAGATGAGGCTGAGACAACTCTGGAAATCAAAGTATTAAAGAACAAAATGTTTGGAAACAAAATAGAAAGCACCAAAGTGCTCCGTAATTTAACAGAATTTAAAAGTGGTGTTAGATATGATGGTGATGAATGATGCACAAGTATCAATGAATGTAGGTTTTAACAGGAAATATCCTTTTACAAAGTGCAGAAAACAAACATGACAACTCAGCAACTGCAGGAATTCACTAGAAAAAATATCTATGCGTGGACAGCAGTTTAAGTTACTGCTTTTTCTAATACAGTTTAATTACTAATATTGCCTTGGAATTTGTGCTCAGACTGAAGTTACTTTATAGTCCTTTATCTAAGGACACAGACACATGATTGAATTATGGGAACTTCATTATTGACTGTGTCAGCTGAGCCACAGTAACAGCTGATGTACATGTTCTTTGCTCCTGGCACATTATAGTTTCAGTACACTTTTTCAAAGTTACTTCTGCTCAAAATGCACAAGAACATGTTTAGACACTATCACTGGACTGTATACACTAGCCCTGAGATTTCCAAACCTCAGAGGAAGACTTTTTGGTATAAATTAATATAAGCTGTTTTCTGTCTGATTGCCAAGAATATCACAGGAGAGCAAGTGATACTTCATGCAATGACAATTCTTATTTTTAGCTACCCAACAAGGTGAGTTTGGTCTCCAGATGCTGAGCTGTCTCCATTAACAGCTCATCTCTGTTGTCAATTGCAGCTTCTGCCTCCCGACGAAAATTGGCCCATTTTTGAAAGTCATCTTCATTCAAGACCTGCATAACACAATTTAAACAGAGCTAATTTAAAATTTAAATAAGAGAAGACTGCCAACATTCCGTATCAGAGACTTAACTCCTATCCAGACTGGTAAAATACTGTGTCGCCTTTAAAATAACACAGACTTTTCCAAGAAAAGACTACAAGAACTAGTAGTAATGAGAAAAATAGACCTGCCTTCCTGTTTGTATAAATGGCCTACAGCTGAGACTTGAAAACATGACCTAGAGAAACTCTTGACCACACAGCCCTTAGTTGGGACTCTGTACCCGAGCAGACATTTTCTGAAGGTTGCTCTACATTTCTCCAGAGCTTGAATATGACCTATTCATTGCACATAGACAACTTATGTAGTAAAGCATCAGGCTGAGGGCAAGATTTTTGAAAGCTGA